TTGATTGAGAAGAGAACAAACAAAAATCGAATAGAACACGATGAGAAAAGGTATGGGGCGAGCTATTACATGGCCGCACGCTAAAAACGCGTCTCCCGCGGCATTGAATAATCAACGCGTTCGTCCCGTATTCATGAAAGTTCACGGAGTCTAAATAAGGGAACACGGCGAGGATCTAATATGCACGAGCCGTGAAACGTCTCTGTCTTATCTCGACATTTTTGGACCCGTCTGTCCACCCAACTGAATATAGATCCAAGCGGATCCGACCGGATGAATCACCCGTTGATGTACACAATGTTCCCCTATATCTGTTCGACGAATTCTCACGTTCGCGAGGTGCATCGAATTTCTCGAGGCTTTCGCGGTTCTCCTCTCGAGTTGGAGGCACCCGAATGTTTACCGAAATCCTTTCGGAATCTAGATCTCGATGGGGAGAAATGTTTTTAGCGCGCGATTTTAAGGGATAGTATCGTGCAACGGTTAAGAAAATTTACTCAAAACAAGGGCACGTGGTAGTTGGTGGTGGTTGAGGGTGGGCCAATACTTTCACAGCAAAACTGGGTCTTCGGGGGAGTGCGTCGATATTTAGGGGTTGGACACAGTCGGGACACAGAGAGTGCGGTACATTTTCTTTGTTTGATCTTACGTGGACGTAATTCGTTTTGTTGGGTATTGTTCATAATGTGAGAACGATCGACACGGAGGATCTCGGTTTTATCCTCGAGCTACGTAGCGACCTGATAGCGTCGCGTCGAGAATACGACCCGATATCTTGCAGTTCACGAGCCTGCAAATCACCGCTAAGAAACACTGAACTTGATCTATCTACGACACATTTCTGTGTGACACTTCCCTGGTCTAACGTGTTAACTTTTGCTTAAAGTTACGCTCTCGCTGAAATATCTTCGACATTCCCTGCTGCTCGCCCGATTCCACGGATGGCCCGTCTCCCGCGACCATTTCCCAACCCCCTGTCCGACACACGTGCTTTCCCCTTACGTAACTTTCAGCTTGTGTCCGATCCATCGGACAGCGTACATCTTTTTTTCATTTCGAATCGAGTCGGACGAGTTCGACGGTCTGGGAGCGGCAAGGAATGTCGAGTGTTCGATCTGATTACACTTTAAAACTGTTCCGGAGACCGGTTGCAATACTTACGAGTATTGGTCCTCGTCGTCAGACATGTTTGCGGGTGGTTAAGGTGCTGCAACACGGAAACAAAGCGCCGATTAACACAAACTGTTCCCCGATCGAGTACTCTTAGGTCTGTACACGGAGCATTTATCACGATATCTCACACCGACGGAAAGAGAATGGACGATTGGAATCGTTACTCGATATTTTTCTTTTCGCTCCGAAGTATCTCCTCGAAATTAACTGAGTCTCGATCGCGTCGCGCGATCACACCGTCGATCACGTCCCGACGATGCTTCCCCGAGCAAAGAAGATACTGGGTCACGTGAAAAAATGATGAAGAAAAAAGGGAAAAATGTCCGAGCGATCGGATCGTCCAGCCCGCTCGTTCGCGCAGGCGCCGACGTGCACACGGTTCCCGCAGGAAATTTTCAAATAAACAAGTCGCGGCGAGAACGTGAGAGAAAGGGGTAGTTGAGGGTGGCTGCCCGGGCATAAATCGAACCTTGCTGGCGCGAGAGAAAGAAGAAGCTAGAAAAGAAAGGAAGTCGAAGGGGCGAGACGATGCACTGGTGCAAAGGTAATCCGATATTCTGAGACGAGAAAGAGAGTGCCAGTTTGCTAACCCTGGCCGCAAGCTCGACGTCGCAAGCTCTATAAGGAGCCATCCCCTTCTCTTCCTCGTCGCTCTAATTTTAGAAAACCGACTCTCTACTCTTCTCTCTTTCTCTCTCTTCGTTCATCTATCCAACCTTCTCTTTCTCGTTCGGTCTCTCCCTCTCTCTCTTTCTCTCTTTCTTCCTAGCTCAGTCTTCCTCTCTCCCCCTTTTTCTCTACGGCCTCCCTCGCTCCCTACGGCAGTGCCTCCGCCTCCTCCTCCTCGATCTCGTCTTCGTTACCGTTGTCGTCACCAAACTTTTCCGAGCGTTTCCTGTCCCCGTGAAGAAATCGAACTTCAGCTTCGAGAATCCTTTCGCACGCGCGACGGACCGATTCCTTTACCCGCCTTCGCAAACGCGCTTCCCAGTTGCGGCTGCTCGCGCGGAATAATTCGGTCGAAATGAAATTTCGTCGGGCCGATGGATCGATCCTTTGAAACGCCGAACCGAGGCGGACATTAAAAGTAGAACCGAGCTGCTCGCGCCGGAAAGGAATCCGAGCCTCCCCCGGCACGCGTGGGCGCGACGCGACACGAGACATAGAACAAGGAACAATATTACATAATTGTGTACGTCACCCACGAATGCCTCGAAACGGGATATCCGAGTCGCGTGCATAGATGATGCCACGGCGCCAACGCGATTCGCTTCTATATCGGTACCCCTTCCGACCCGCCATATTTAGAGACTTCAAAATAATTCGATTCTTCGCGCGTCTTCACCCAAAACATCGCTCGGAAACGGGAAACGTGAATCTACTGGTTCCCACAGTCGGTATCGTTACGAAAAGTACTCCAGAATCTCGGAAGAACAGCTTCCTGACCCGCTCAACCAGCTCGTCGGACGTCGAAATCGGTCTCTCGCCGTTCTTCCTTGATCATCGTCAACCCCAGACCCGTTTACCGCAACGAACTTGCTCCCCGAACTTTGCGAGCATGAATTTCCGAAACGAATAACGCGTCACGTGTCTCCGGTCGGTCACAGGCGCGCACGCGTGCGCGGCAAAATCTGTCCGGAGAGGAAACTTCCCCGTAGTCTCGGCAATTTTCCCGTGCATTGTTTAAACGTTCCACGGGAAATTTATCCGATCCCTCGCGTAAACTTTCCCCGCTGGTCGGCGAAGTTTCATCCGGAGGTCAACGATGCTCGGGTCCGATCTCTCGGAAGTTTCTCAGTAGATAAAGCGATGGCTTGGTCAGACGCCGCCTAGCGCTTAGGCACTTAGCTCGGGTCGCTCGTAAATCCTCGGGAACCGGTTATCAGCATCCATTTACACAACGCGTTAGGAGCCCATCCAGTTAACCTGTCCGACTCGGACGATCCTCGAGAAGATTTCACCCTTCGAGATACATCGCCGGCAGCTGGGATCCCTTTCCTGGCTCTACCGAAGACCGTTTCACTTTGCACACTTCCGATTCAGTTCCGTGTGGGATGCCCGGATAGTTCACGAGCGTACGGGTAACGAAGACCGCGAGGAAGAGGGGGCTCTAACGGTTGAGAACTCACTGACCGATCGATCACTGAATCGAACGTTACAACGTACAACGACGACGACGACGACGACGACGACGGTTGAACGGTCCTGCGAACTTTTCGCTGGTCGTGTCACTTGATCAATCGCCCGGTTTAAACGGTAACGGATAGCAAACGCATCGCAATCATCACTAATGAAAAATAATGAAACTTACACTCGTACGGTGTCAATGTGTGGCTATGTGTGTGGACGTGTGGGTGGGTGGGAGAGTGTGTGTATGTGGTGGTATGAGGGTTCGCCTCGGGGCACCAGCCGAGCAACAGATGCTTCCAACGACAGGCACGCACGAAGAGCTTTTGCTGGTGGAATGTGGAGTCCGCGACAGCTCGAGCGGCTCTGAAGTCCTGCGGGCAGAGTCTGGACAGCACCAAGACTCGGGACGATGCCTATGCGGCTCGGCCGACTCGATCGCTCCCTTTCGTCTCGCTATTAATAGAAAGCAGATCCACGTCCGTGGGGCGCGAGCGTGATACGATCCTGGCACGCTACTATTTTCGTCCCTTCTTAGATCCCGCCGTGGATCGCCCGCTTTTCCCGTGGACCCCTTTTCGCCTGTGTTCCGCCCCCGCTTGCCTGCCTGCCTGCCGTCCACGACGAATCGTCGATCCGAGAGACAGGATTGGTAGGGATAGACGAATTTTGAATACCTTGATTAGGAGTTTTAACGGCGACACTCGCGGACCTTTGCCGCTTTCTGAATCGGACTCGCGAGTCGACTGCGCGTCTCGCCAACTCGATGCTGTCGATTCACAGACTGATCATCGTGGATGCATGATTTATAGGATTCTTACTTGGCAACGATTGCCAACCGAATCATCCTCTGATTGCGATCTCCTGTGCGCTATCGCGGCGATTTGTCTTCTTCTTTACGCGTAAACTGTATTTCGCTTTTAATGTATCACCGGTTGTTATTGCATTCGTTTCACTCCTTGCGTTCTGATTATTGCTTATCTTTCGGCATTATCTTTGTTCCAGATAGATACAGTGGGAAAAATAAGGGAGAAGGAAATGGCTGAAGACGCGCGATTTCCTAGGATGTCCAACTTGGAGAGGATCGTTTATTATGCACAGTACAGAACAGGTTAGAAATCCTCGTTATTTTTATTTATAAGTTTAAAATGTTTTAGTACGTCATAGTACTAACACGACATTGAGACAATACTATGTAACTAGGCTAATGTATTTTTCTATGTACATAGATGATAAAGGTTCAAGTGGGTTTAATGTCTTGGCTGTAGCAATAGATGATCCCTACGCAACCGTTTTAGGGGATGCTGGGGATTGTTGATGGGAAAAGTTGTTTACTGCTCCCTTATTTCCCTTGTTTGTCGCGTACAGCGAAAGTTCATCAGTTCTGGATAACAGGCCACAACTGTTCGATGACTCCGAGGAACTTAGCCGAGTTCGTAATTTTCACTCCTCTTAGATTACATCTAGCTAATAAAGTTATTTTATATCCCGTGGATGAACGGTTAAAAAGGGACGGGGTAAGGCTCATGAATCTCCAGTAACTTCTTCAACAATTCAATTAGTTCGAACCACTTTTCTAGGTCGAAGTTAATTGGTCTACTGAAATCATATACGCTAATTGAATCATTCTCGACCTACTCGGCGATTATTAATCTCTCGTAACTCCTCACTTGTGATTGGATTGCACGGTTCACGTATCGACGTCATCATCCGCAGATTTCGCTGCGTTTTCCACCATTTTTTCACCTGAAAAATCCACATTTCACGTCTTCGATACTGTTGACCCATTTCAAGATTGGATCTCCGACCTTTCTCGCCCTCGTTAAACAAGAATTTTATCCGGTGAATAACTTTAATCAATCAGAAAACACATAACTATTTGTTCGAAGATGCATCAACCGTTCGCGAACATTTTCACGCTTCGTTTTCGTATCCCTTCCGGCGTGCAATCGTTGGCAGAAAGGAAAGAGGAAAATGGAAGTGTATTTTTAACAGTCGCCTGGAAAATCTCGAGACCCGTAGCTCTACGGTCGTGCCGGCGAATGGAAGTAACGGAAATTGGAGCGGCTGAAAAAACTGTACCGGGAATGTCATTCGACCGATTGTCCATAGATTGAGCCATCGAATTCCAACTCGCCCTCTACATTTTCACAAGCAACCCCTCGGTCACGAGAACGCCTTATATTCCGAGGAGAACTCCACAAAATATCCAGTTCATGCGAGATAAGAGGCTCGATTTCTGTAGTGGGTCATAAAAAGTGAAATCTCGAGCGCATCGTGCATTTGCAATCTCGCGGAAAAAATACAGATTGCGGGACAGTGAATTGATGTTCGTAATTTAGTTAAAACTTTCAAGCGGCGTATACATACTCGGGTGGCGTCAGTCGCTTTTTGCCGGTGACGAAATCGCTGATCTCTCGGGAAGATCGTAAAATTGAAGTTCCAGATATGTTGTACGTGCGATCTGATGGAAAATATAGTTTACGTCGTAGTAAATATGACGTTACGATTTGCTCGAAACGTTTCGCAGCATTGAGTTAGCGAGAACGTAATGTCAGTTCTGATCGAGATTACTTTTCGTTGATAGTTGATTAAACGGCAACAAGCTCGTAAGGCACTGGAGAACAATCGTAGAAAAAAAAAAATGAACGTTGTATGATCGACTAAATGGAACAATGATGATCGTGATAAATTCGCCGATGCGTTTGGAAAAGTGACATTACCTCTTCGTCAGCCCAGTAGAAGAGTGGCAGGGTGCATCTCCTCGCGACTCAAGTTAGGAGGATGTAACAGAACGCCGTCTTTGTTTATCTCCCACCGTAACCTAATTACCGTCGAAGTGGAACACGCGAGTGCACGCGGTTAGCCGAGCTCCGTGTTTCCGAAAATTCAGCCATTGTCGCGCGGAAAACGGCACCAGGACCCGACGGCGAATGTTTCCATCGGCTGAGTTATTTCCGATGCTGATACAGCCACGATACGTATGTCCTGTAGCCATTTCGAATTTAAGTTTATCCACCCTACTACGTGGACACGGCACTAAATATACTCGGCCGGTAGCAATGACAACAACTCACTCCGGTTCCTTTTATTTTACTTACGGCCGACACGTGAAACAGTAATACTTATCGTGCGAACAGCGGGGAACGTGACGCGGCTCGCGTAACTTTATACGTCATTCGTTGTCGAGGAAATCGGCCCGCAGAAATTAACGTTAAACGGTTCTTTAACGCGTTCGGTGACAGCAGAATAATTCACTGTAGGCTTAAATCCAACTAACGCTATATATACTATATGTATGCGTCCTTGAAGGGGTGCAATTCTTTCTGCCAGAGACAGTACTGCCTAAAAGCATCTTTCTTTCCTAGCCCTGAACGAATTTCATCTAATCTTTCAACATGAACGAAACTAGCAGTCAATGACACATGCAATGTTGCGTACCGTCCGAATAACTCTACCCAAAGTAACTGTTCAACTTCTCTTACGTGTTCATCTCTATCGCGTCTTCGCCCTTAATACTAGGTTTACAGACATTTATCGTGCGTTCCGTAAATCTAGTATTACAGAACTAAACATCGTAACAACGTAATCCGGAGGATTCCCTCGAGTAATGCCTGTACTTCCTTCAGCTTTAAACACATCGGAGTGAAACTCCAAGAAGGTGTAGTCATCCGAATGCATCGAGTTGCCCGCGGAAAGGTCAGCGCGGCGTCGGCTCGCGTTCTCGTTGCACCTAGACACGGAAATCGACGCGCGATCGCGTCGAACGGTGTCCCCGAGTAGGAGACCGGGTTCGGGAGAGCGCGGCAGCTGTGTCCGTGAATAAAAAAAGCACGACGGGCTGCGTTGTGTTGTGGAAACGGGAGCAGCGGCCGAGTCGACGAAATAGGAGCCCGCGATAAACGAATGTGGGTTGGCCCTCCGCGGGACCTTGGCGATGCCGGAGGCGGCAGAGAGAGGTCCGCAGCAAGGAGGCTACCTTATCAGAGGCAGCCTGGAGGCTGAAACTTCGGCCGCGTGGCCGACGCCGAACCACGAGGCGGCTCCTTATATGGAGGGGGTCGCGCCAGAGAGAGGGCGCCGCGACGCTCGAGTATAAAGTTCCACGACGCTGACGACGTCGGCTCACACCGCGCCAGAAAGCTCGCCACCTTGGCTTTTCCTCGATCCTCGCCTGATCGCGGATTAATTGCTTCTCGCGTTTCTTCCCTCGCAGTCGATTCACGCCCACGCTCGGCACGGTGGCGAAGATATTTTCGAATTTCAGCGCATTATTCAGTTGTTTGTTGAAGATTCGTCGATTCCCGATTTCTTAACGGTAGAACCACCATGGGCGAACATGACCCGTTTCTGGATTTCTTCTAATTATTGAAAGACAATGAACGATTCTATGAGAGATTATCGAGAAAATTATTTTTAATATGTTAGCTGGATTATAAATCTGCCGGAATCTCAGACGGAGTTTTAGAGTTTCTATAGGAGAATTGGGAACAGGAAAAGGAGAGTAGATTTATTACTTTTTCCTGAATGAATGCTAGAGTTGGTGTCATATTTCTTTTATTTAATGAACAGCTATTTGTTTCATTCCGTGCTCAGAATAATTCCGTATTTTGGCTGATTTATGAGAGCTGTTGGGTAATTTGGTCGAAATATGTGCGTGCGTTTGTCTTACTCGAAATACGTTGCATTATTCTAGCAAAGATAACGTTCCGTTAATAATTTGTTAATAATACATTCTAATATTAGTATCACGTCGTTTAGGAAATATGCGGAATGTAGGACTGGAACTAATCAACGAGGAGAGCAAGGTATATAAGGATGAATTTTAGTCCCCGTAGTATTGGTTTGGTCAAAATGGAACTAGGTCCACTTAACGGAATCAAATCAGTTATGGTATCCCTCTGTCCGTTGCTATTACCTCGTTGAAAGTCATTAACCGGTACTGCGTTAATTGATTTCAGCGAAAACGAGTTAAACTGTTGGCCAGGGTTACGGAAATAGCTGCAGTCTTGATATTTCGAAACGATTCAATGGTTGAGTTAATATTTTCCGACTGAATAAAATTACCAAGGTAATATTAAACTTTTGGAAAAGAATAACAATTTTTCGAAGTAAACAAAACGAGCTTCAATCGTCTTACGTATAAATAGAATACGCTTTGCGAAAACTTAAGCTTCATTCTGAAAGATTGTTTTTTTATTTTAAACATGCTTCGTAAATATAGAAAACTAACCCGGGGAAATAAGTTGCGAAGGGGATTTGGCAGCGTCCAAAAATTTACGTAATGCGAGAAAAAATAAATTTTTTCTGAATGACATCAGTAGTGGAAACTTTAGAAGGTATGCATCAATAAAGTTCAAATATAACTCGGATTTGATACTGGAGCAAAAAAAGAACAAATATATCTTCTACGCGTACAGTTCTGTAAAGAATCGAGAAGACTTATTATATTTTATGGTAGCATATGTTATAAAGTTGTTTGAATGTTTATAGAAAAATGTACAAGATGTGCTGTTTTTACAATGTTTATTTCAAGTTTGATATTTTCGATGTAACGATAACTCTGTTTCACAAGATGTATTACAGAAGTTATTCTGAATGTGCTTAGAGGACAAATAAGAAAATACAGGTCTTGAATATTTGCATTGGACCACATTCAAAATTAAAACAGTTTGCAGGTAAAGTTTTCAGCAAGAACAAACATAATACAATCATACAAATAAATCGTTTTAATTGTTTTAATGTACAAAAAAATAAATAGTTCAGAAAGAAATGAAAATAAAAATGACTAAACACACTATGTTATTTATGATGCCTTATAATATTTGGTACAATTGGTTTTTTAAAAGGTCTATCTCTTCCACCGAATCTCAGCTGACCTGATTCTTTCTTGCCCCCAAAACCACCTCCTACAAAATTAAGAAGAATTCTGAATATTCTAACTACGCATAAGTTATAGACTATAAGTAATACATTTTAAACTAATCAGGCTCACCAAGTCTTCTTGGTTTCCAGCCCTTCATAGTACGACCACACTCGTAATCAACAAAAATTCTATAGCCTTTCAAGGTAGCATCCACAGAACGTCTAATCGCTCTTCTGGCTTCATCTTCATTTCTCATTTCTACAAATCCATAACCTTGAGATAGGCCAGTTACTATGTCGACTATAACTTTTGTTGATAACACATCTCCATACCTAGAAAAAAACTAAATTTATTAATGTTTAATATGAATGTACTATTGTTAATGTTATAGAAGCACAAGATGCATACATCTTTCAAGTCATATTTGGTAATTTTTGGACCAAACCTAGCTACAAACAATGTTCTTTCAGGTTTGGATTTCAACCCATGAGGCGGTTCATAATGTGCTTGCATTGCACGGCTGACAGCTTTATCGTGTGGTTCTGTGTCTGTGCCATCGATACTGCCAGCTTTCAAAGGATCGTATTCTTTGGCATATGGACTCCAATTCTGTAATGGATCTGCCTATAATTCGAACACACAATAACCATTATCACAAACGTCTGAAAACACAGGTATAACCTTAATTCGCCTAAACAATTCTCTGAACATTTAAATAAAAATTCATAAATAATTTCAAAAGAAATCATTATCCCCTACTTCAAAATGCATCGATTTCCTGCGTGAACTAATGTCATTCACTTACCATTTTATGTAGGTATCAGTCACTGTCAATTAACAGTTATAAAAACTAAGAAAATTCTAAACGTTTCTGATTTGACACATGGTGGAGCAATAACAAACCAACTATGCGCTGTATGCTGCTGCCATCTGAAGGGAATGGTTAGAAACTGCTTTGAAAATCATGAAAATTTGCATGAACCGTCGATAACTCAATACTATATGATAAAAAAGGTATTGATTCTAGATAATAACACAATATCGGTAAACTTTTAGCACCGACAAATGCATCATTCTTTGACGTTCTTACAATGAGTTAGTGCAAGGTATTTGGTTACTGTACAGATCTTCGGTGTACAAATATTTGACCCATTGTGTAGATCTTTCATCCCGCCAAATTTCATTGAAATCGGTTAAGACCAGATCTAATTGTGAGTCCTTCCATGTCAGTGATGAACGAAGAGAAGCAGACACGATTGGGGTAGAGACGTCAAACAACAGGTGGAACTATAGCTATTAATACAGTAGAACAGTGCGCGTCTCCATGCTCTGCACGACACTGTAGAAGACTTTATTTAAAGGCACGACTGGCGCGTTACATGCGTGTATTTACATAATACGAATTCCAATCGCGTGCGGTCCTCGTAAAATTCGCGATACCCGCGCCCCGAGGAATTCCGAATCCCAAGGTGTATATTTCGTTGCAGTGGCGTCAAACTCGACCTTCCGGCATTTATTGCGACTATTATGGATAGCCGACTCACAAATATCTACGTATTTACGTTACCATTGCACATCATAAAAGTGCAGACGTGTAAATTGACCATGACGCAAATGCCAATAACACTCGGTTAATTAGCAAATAGAAAATTTTATAATTATCATAGAAACATATGAAAATGTCTATATTTGTTTGTCCCATAAAGATGGGCGGTAGAATTTTTAAGAATCACGAATTAAAAGGTAGATTAGTGGACGAATAAAAATCTCCAAAGTCAATTTCTAAAACTATATTTATTTACAAAATAATCATTCTATGCTGATAAAAGCTTTATTAGATTGAACTTTGTACATTTCTTTTATTTGAGAAGACTTGTTTTGCTTATCTAGATCGTAATATATTTTACTAATTATAAATTAACGACTATATTTTGGTATATTCCTCTTAAAATATATCTATCAATAATCACGTATACGTTTGTCTAATTTCCAAAATTCGAATCACGCAGCCTATAGCACGGTGAATTCACTTTCGCGTTAATTATTCGCGTCGCAATTATAAAAGAATTGTTAGAATTCTAATCAGAAGTATACATTAGTATCCTTTCAAAATATAACACGGTAAATGGCTATTTAAATTACAGCTACTCAATTACAAAACAACAAGTGATATTGTACAGTCCTCTTTCGATCTGGCTTGCCTTTGGAATTATTTTTATCGTTCGACGCGACAGTGCCAATCTTATAATACTGTTGCACACATGTTGTACGCATAAATCGGGGCACTGTATTTGCCTTCTAAAATTTACAAACCATAGCGTGTTAAAATATAAAACAACATACGCGTAAAGAAGAAGAACGTTGCAAGCCTTTTTCGAACGATTCCGTTAAACACTGATACAGCCCAGACAGTGAAAGATATTAATACTTGAAATCGCAATTCTAGCCTATGCTTAAAGTTCATAATCTCGCTTAGAATGCCTCGCGGCGGCTTCTATATTCACGCGCTCGTCAAACGTCTAGCCGTAAAGATTAATTTACCAATTAAAAATAGAGTATCAAACTAATTCTAAATCTAGGTGGGCGCCCATTCGTTTCAACGCTAGTATGGTATTTACTGCTTTAACCCATCTCTTCTTGATGACATAACGCTTTAATCGGACTTTACAAATCGGGTTGTCCAAAGCGGCTTCCAGCCAACGGTGCTCTAACAGTTGACCTGCAGATGGTCTGTCCCTGGAGCAAAACAATGTATCAAATTTTTGGGTAAGCTCCCGTTTCAGTAATCTTTCATCTAACTAAAAACTTATTTAATAAGAGACGTACCTTCGCTGTTTTGAACAAAGCAAATAGTTTGTTAGATTTTCAGTTAGATATTTCTTGAGTGTGTTAGGTTTGCATTATTGTTAGAATTCACTTCAGTGCCGATTCAATTAGGCTGATTAATATTGATATAGACTGAGCCAGTTAAAACTACAACTTAAGACTGGCAAACATGGTTCAAACAATGTGGACAAGACCAAACTACAATCTACTTAAAACCAAGAAATTTGAGTTGGGCCAATCTAGTATCCACCCTGAATCCTTGATTCCGATGAATTATGACGTCGATACTTAGATCGGTACAAATCGATTTTCCCGGTCATCTCCGTGACCACTAGAGGAACTTGTGAAATAAAATTATTGAGGCTATACGTTTCACGATCTTTTATATTAAACATATAATATAAATAATACAATACAACAAGAATATATGCACAGACATATGATCCCTATGTGATCCGTGTGAAAGATCGTTACACAAGCGTGTAATTATTATATAATTTAGCTTAACATATAAATAATGCGTACAGTTACGCGTGCACATTTATTATACACAATAAACAGAAGTAGTTCTCGATTCTTCAGTCGAACTTCTAGCAGCAATAATCATTTGACGCGGTTGCCTTCCCACAGTCTAGAAATTTATCGCCAAAAATCCAATAGCACGCGCGTTCAAAGGGAGACAGAGGCTCGAAAAGGATATTCAACGAGACTACTTTATTCAAAGACCAATTCTCAATTCAGTACAAAGCAAGTTTCAAAAGCCTTCCCCCGTAGTCTCCATGAAGTTACTACTCTACATACACGAAAACCATTTTCCTTATGTAGATCTCCCGAGCGGAGAAACTACACGTATCAAACGATCCACCGATACCATTCTCCATCATTCAACGTTCCTCATTTTCCAGAACTCTCCGCCGAGGAACGAATCGTTCGCCGTCGTCAGCTTCATCCTGGGATGTTCTGGACGTATTTTCAACGATGTATCGAATTCGACGCGGACTGGTTCCCGTTGGGCGAGCTCGATTTCTGTTGCTTCGACTGGAAATACTCAGCTAGGGAGTTCATCGTCTTCCTGGCAACCGATTCCTGACCACACCAGTCAACGCTCACCGATTTCCTGCCTACACTCGACGGCCTGGTAGCCACTTCGTCCCATTCCTCCAGCAAATGGAGCAACAGATCCTTGCTGGTCGGCTCGTCGAGATTCAGATTCTTGTGCAGATTACGCAGCCCGGAGATTCGGGGAACGTCTCGACTGGTCTCCCCAAACACGTGCTTCACCCGGGAACGTCGCCATGGTGGCGTCAGGTCCATCTCACCTTCGGCGTATATTCTAACCGGCTCACTGCTCGCCGCGTCCTCCGTCGTCTCCTGCGAGGTCTCCGCTGCAAAGCTGTTAGGTCCCGTTACAACTTCCTCTTGAACTGTCCTTTCATCTGTCTTTACCTCCGAACTCTTGCCCTCCCCGTTTTGCTTCGCTTTCTTCAAAGACGCGAATATATTCGAGGTATTCGTCTCCGAAAACCTGTCGAAGCTGCGGCTACTGTGAAACGTTGTTCCATTCAGCTTCCTATGTCTCATTATGCTAGATAGCTTCTGAGTGATCTCGTTGGACTCATCCGTCGTGACCACTCCGTTGCTCCTCGAATGCACACCGTTGCGATTGCTCGTCGTATTTTCCTCAAGCTTCTCCGTGGTTTTCTTGCTGTCCGCTGACTCCTCGTTGGACTTCAGGCACGTGCCCATAGCTATGGCCCTCAAATGCTCGGACAGCTTGATGATCTCTTCGGCGAGGACGATCTGACTGGCTGGATCGCTGCGAGGTTTCTCCATTGTGACTCCTTCCGAAGCTCTCCTCTCGAAACCGAAGCTGGGCACCGTCAGGAAACTCTGGCTGTCCAAGGAAGGTATTTCCGTGGTTTCCGAGGGTGTGCTGCAAATACTCGCGCAAGGGGATGGACTGTGACCCTGAAGGGACACTAGTTCTTCGTGATCGTGCATCAGCGAGGAGATACCAAGCTGAGGGAGATCGATCATGTAAGGACTGTCGGGATGCTCTCGCCAACGTTCAACGAACAGTCTCAGGTTATCCTTGGTCACGTCCAACTCGTCCACGTTGTTGTTGTTGTTGTTGTTAACCAGCACCCGCGAGATCTGCGGGATTTGCGTGACTGTTTCGGTAACGGGGTTCGGCTGCAACGCCGCTTCCTCGACCTGCTGCTTGCTCGTCTTTCTCGTCAACCAACGATGTTCCCTGCATTGCGTGGCCGACAATCGTTTTCTGAAAGATTCAGCTCCCTTGTGAGGATCACCGTTCACCCGCTTTCTTTCACTTCTTTCTTGCTTTCTCTCTCTCTCTCTTTCTCCCTTTCCCTCGCTTCCGACTTTTGCCCTCTCGGCGCAAAGGTATGTAGGTACATGAGTGTCTTTTATTCCGAGGCGAATGGTGTGCGGATGGTGATGTGGAAACGTGCAGGGATGCGTACGATGACGGTGCAAAGCGCGGGACCAATTTACCCGAGCCAGACGCGCGCTCCGAGCGATCGAGAAATTTACACGATGTATCGTCCGCTCCCTTTGCTAAAATTTCCTCGTCTTCGGACGCTCTTTTCTTTCGTTCTCGATTTTTTGTTCGTTCAACTCGAGGAAGTTGGCCACCGAACCCCATGGAACTCGTTCGTGAACGAACGGCGAGCGATTATTCATCCCCCTCGGAACCACGAACTCGAGATTCGATCGATCGCTTCGTTGGGAATTTTACAGAAAATCGTCACGTCGTATGGCACTTAGAACAGCGATGAAAGATCCAGCACGTTCGGCGGAAATGAGTCGTTCGTAATTTTACTTCTCGTTTGTTCCGTTCTAGCTCGGTCACGAGAATGAACCACAAAACGTCGAGAATGAAGAAAGCATGCTTGGGTATTAATCGGGCACAAAAGGAGAGAGAGAAAGTCGAAGAATCACCGCGAAAGAGTTGCAAATGTGGACGTAACGGCCCAGATAACGTTCTCGAAATTACATTTCCCTCGTAACTATATCGTAACCAGGTGGATAACAATTTTCATCGTAGATTAGTTTCATCTCCAATGAAATCCACGATTGGACTGTTATGTAAACTATCATTTCAAAGGAATGAAAATCGTATGTCGCTGTTGGAAACGTTTCCAGCGGTGTGCGGCGCAACTCGAACGATTTAAGCTACGGATTATTTCATCTGAAAGATTAAATAATCTAATAGAATCGTAATCTAAACACAAGCGAAAATTATTAGGATGCTCCGTCGAATTTTCTTGGCAACGATTCCGAGCTGCGCCGTGATTTCGTTATCCAGGCCGTTTATGTCGTTAATATTGTGCAAAAAAAGCCATCGGTGTCTATCGTTCGACGTCCGTCGTCAACGTTGATGACGTACGCGGATATTTTTGCACAAATCATCTTTCCTCGCGTAATATTTCGGACGATCGAACAAAAGAGGGGGTACGTACTCTTTGTCTTTGACCAGGAGACCCCGGATGAAGTCCTTCGCTTCCTCGGATATGTTAGTGAAGGCGTCATGATCGAAGTCGTACTTGGCGATGGTAACGTTCGCCATCGTCTCGATGTCCGTGTCACCCATGAACGGAGACAGGCCGGATAACCTGGAAATTAATTCGTCACGATGTCTTTATTACACTGTTAAACATATTGTCTTACATTATAATCGGGGAAAGTGGTTGAAGTTCGTTTCCATGAATATCGCGGAACGATTCGAAACTTTCAGTCGGTAGTCTGTATAATTGATATCAAAAAGATTGCGCGTTTTCAAAGAAACGTAGCCAAATTTTAAGGTAGACTCACAGTACGTAACAGATGACGCCTATACTCCACATGTCGGTGCCGAAACCAATCTGATCGAAATTTACGACTTCCGGTGCAACGAACTCCGGCGTGCCAAATAGAACCTGCAACTTCTTCTTCGGGTCGTACTCCCTCGCGAGGCCGAAATCAATGATTTTAATCCTGTTTCCCTCTTTAGTCAGGCACAGTATATTCTCCGGCTGTAAGCAGAACACTCTTCTTCAACGAAGAAAATACGTTCCGAAACAATTCTTTATCGTTCAGGCTGAAATTTAATCACGCGAGACTCGAATTTCGTTAAAAATTCATTCGCGACAGTTGCATTGAATTATGTGAATCGAAGCTACCAACATTTCATTTGAATGCGAGTCTGTTATCAAGCTTTGGATCAGGTGCAAAGAAGCAGCCTTGCCAAAAACGATAAGTTAATCGTATCAACTCTTGGCAACTTTCGTCGTGATCTTCCTGTTTACAATTTTCTCGATCAGTCAATGCGATGTTACAGTCATTATATCCTATTGGGTTGTATCGTACCTAACTCCATATTTCACGATCAGAAATAGTCTTATAAGAGCAAAGTTGACGCGCTTCACCCGATGATTTTCTGATTACCGGTCTGCCTATTGATTCTAGAAACTCTTCCGTTTACCTTTAGATCGAGATGCAGTATGTTCTGCCGATGAATGAATTCGATGCCCTCGCAGATCTGTCGCATGAAGACGGCGCAACTGCGCTCGGTCAACACGAAGTCCTCGTCTATCACCCTCTCGAACAGTTCGCCACCTTCGATCCTTGAAACACGAAAATAGGTTGTGATCCCATGGACGACTAGAGACCACACGGTTGTGTGCCGTCGAGAGCTTACAGTTCCAAAATAACGTATATCTGTTTCCCAGTGTCGATAGCATCGTACAGCTGAATAAGTCTGGGATGTTGCAGTCGTCTCATAATTTCAACTTCTCGCTCGACCGCCCGCCTGTCCTCCTTCTTCCCGGTGTTCACCACCTTCACGGCGAGCATCAGTCCGCTTGCTTTCTCCTTGCATCGATAGACGGTGCCAAATTTCCCTCTGGAAATAGTAACGATCCCATTTCACCGAAATTTTCTGGACTCGCTTTGGTCCCCGTTCATTCATCACCAACGAAACAATTCGCGCCGGACAGTTGTCCATTGTCTTCGAGCAAATAAGACAATGATCTATTACTTTGAAAACTTGCGAGATCTGACGAACGGTACGCAAGAGGTCTTGCATTGAAATTTCTCTCGCATCTTTGCCGAGCGGATTTAAAGTCCGTAGGAAAGCTGTTTATACGAGCCTAGCAGCATCTACCAAAACCTGGCAAGATTGGTCAAAGTTTTCTCATGCCATAAAACGATTATTCCAAACATCTTTTCTCCTTTCCGCTACTTTTCATTGGTCCCTCCCATTAATTTCCATTGGCTCCTCCCGCAAACTTTAGATCCGCTCGATATATCTGTATCGGGTTGCTTACATTGCGTTACAATGCGTTAGCACAAGCAACATACCGTACCCAATATTTCACGTTCAACTCTGACATTTATGATCGGCATGATGGCGACTGGTGACATTAACGACCGTTTAATCGAGCACTTCGAAAGATACAACGGAACAGGAATTATTAATAAAAGCGAAACTTGGCGTATAAAACATTACGGTCGCTTTGAGGAAACACATTTTGCTTGAATGTACACACTTTCGTGATAAACTCCCGAAGTCAATAAGATGCTTTTTTGTAGAGTGACAACCCGGTCCAAGTAAGAGAACCGTCTTGTGTTTTTCAAGCTTGAGACAGCGAGGAATGCAAATCGGTTTCTGCGAGATATAGAAGATGGCTTGTATATCGTCGGCGCCGAATTACGGTGCGCGCGATACAACAATCGCTACACTGCAACAATACAGGCTCCATCTAAGATTAACGCGATAAAAGCCACGACCACAGCTGCACAAACTCCGACTCTTGATTTTGTTCCGTTGTGCCAAGGAACGCGCGCAACATGGAAAATACCGTCCTCTGGCGTGAAATCTTTTCGGGCCGCGAATTCCGCTCTAAATATCCCGTCAAAACACAATTTCGCGATAAATATAAAGAAACGTCGAACCGTTTTGGTCTCTTTTCTTCCCCGTTCGAATGCGCGTCGGTCGGCCGTTGAATCCCCCCCGTTTCAAACGCGATAAACGAACGCGACGCCAGTCGTCGACGTTGCTCAGAGGAATTTTCATGGAGAAGAAAAAAAAAACTGTCGCGCGTACAACGACATAAGCTGGAGGAAGTGCCAAGCTACCTCTTTGGCTTGTTAGAACGCAGTGGTGTAACCTGTATCGTGGCTGTCACTGCGCCAAGTTAGTGAGTCAGTGAGTTAGTAGAGCATACCGTAGACAACAGGGTCGCCGGAACGAATTATCAAAACGGAACATCTGCCAGGGAAACTGCGATATCGCTATCGCGAACGGATTCGATTAGAAAATATTCCTGAAGTCCTTGATTTTAAAAAGCAGCCTGCACATCCAAGCGTGCGCTTCGCTTTTCATAAAATTACGCGCGACTCAGCAGCTTTGTCTCGCGCGACGTTCACTTACGCTCGCACGGTG